AAAAAGTGTATGTGCACCCACACAGCAAAATGTACCAACACTTAGCCGCACAGGCACACATCAGTGTTAGGTGTGTAATCTCACTTGTGTGTGGCCTAAAGCAAGGGTCAGAGGGGGCAGGATTTCCAGATGTTTCCTATTATCCTGCAGCACTGATGAGACTTTCCTGGTCACCCTTCTCTCAGTCTCTCACTTCTCCAAATCTGGATGGAAGGTCAAAAGCTGACTAACTTACTGGACACGTGATTCCACTGTTGTCTTTACTGGACAAGATTCACTGGCATGGGTCAGCGTGGTCAAAAAAATTCAGCAACCTTTGAATCAGGTCAGCTGGTCAAACTTCAAGCATGTTTTAAAGACATAAAGGCCTGGATGACCTGCAACTTCTTACTTCTAAACTCTGACAAAACTGAAATTATTGTGCTTGGGCCTGAAAACCTTAGAAATCTGCTGTCTAATCATATAGTTACTTTAGATGACATAGCTCTTGCCTCCAGTACTACTGTGAGGAACCTTGGAGTCACCTTTGATCAGAATATGTCCTTTAAATCACACATAAACCAAGTCTCTAGATCTGCCTTCTTTCACCTGCGCAATATTGCAAAAATCAGGAGCATCATGTCTCAAAGTGATGCTGAAAAACTGGTCCATGCATTTGTTACTTCCAGGCTGGACTACTGTAACTCTTTACTATCAGGATGTCCCAATAATTCCCTAAAAAGCCTCCAGTTAATCCAAAATGCTGCAGCCAGAGTACTGACAGGAACTAGCAAGAGAGATCATATCTCTCCCATATTAGCTTCTCTCCACTGGCTCCCTGTAAAATTCAGAATAGAATTCAAAATCCTTCTCCTAACATACAAAGCCCTTAATGACAAGGCTCCATCATATCTTAAAGACCTCGTAGAGCCTTATCATCCTAACAGAGCACTTCGCTCTCAGAGTGCAGGTCTACTTGTGGTTCCTAGAGTCCACAGAAGCAGAATGGGAGGTAGAGCCTTTAGCTATCAAGCTCCTCTCCTATGGAACCAACTCCCAGTCTCAGTTCGGGAGGCGGACACCCTAAGGGGAGGAAGAGCATTTAGCTATCAAGTTCCTCTCCTGTGGAACCAGCTCCCAGTCTCAGTTCAGGAGGCGGACACCCTTTTTACCTTTAAAACTAGACTTCAGACTTTCCTTTTTGATAAAGCTTATAGTTAGGGCTGCATCAGGTGACCCTGAGCCTTCCCTTAGTTATGCTGCTATAGGCCTAGGCTGCTGGGGGGCCCATGATGCTCTGAGTTTCTTTCCCCTCCCCTCCTGCTCTGCTCTGTTCTCCTCTCCTCTCTCTCCCTATGCTTCTATATGCCACCACTACACATCACTAACTTTGTGTCCTCTCTCTCTCCCTGTACCTTTCTGCAGGTTGCCCTGGCCCTGGAGCTCTATGTCTCTGGCAAGCAGTCACCAGCCACATTGACCTGACCAGTGTTTGATTGTTTGTTGTGTCTTGTTGCTTTTCTTCTTTTCTCTCTCCTCTATCCACTCACCCCAACTGGTCGAGGCAGAAGGCTTCCCACCAAGAGCCGGGGTCTGTCTGAGGTTTCTTCCGTTAAAGGAAGTTTTTCCTCCCCACTGTCGCCAAGTGCTTGCTCAAGGGGGATTTGTTGGGTTTTCCCTATGTAATAATAGTGATAACAGTAAGGTCTAGACCTTACTTTGTAAAGTGTCCTGAGATGACTTTTGTTGTGATTTGGCGCTATACAAATAAAATTTGATTTGATTTGATTTGATTTGAAATAGCAAACCCTCATTTTTATGGTTTTGAAAAAAAGAAATTCCACCAGTCTACTGGGTATGATGCCAGCGAATGTGTTCCTGTCACAGACATCCTACCAGATCAGGGCAGGGAAAGTCCACTTGCCTGGATTAAATCAACAAAGCACTGCCCTGAAGAAAATCCCTGCTAATCTATAGTGCTACAGAATGATCAATCAGACACAAACAAGGGAATTTGCTGCAACAAAAGTAAAAGAAAAAAAAAAGCTGTCATCACCATAAACTTGGAATTGAAGTCAGACCGTTAAAATGACACTGCTGCCACTCTACTCCGAGAGCCAATAGGTTGAGAGATTTGCTGTGATAACTCTGAGCAAAACAAACCCTCTAATCTCTGTTTTCACACGCCCACCTCCCTTCTCACATCATATCTACCTGCTTTACTCCAACACATCAGATGAGCTCAATGGTGCTGGTAATTGCCAGGGGGTGAGTGACAGAACGGCTTAGATGCCAAAGCCAGATAACCTTCCTTTTGATTGTCACGGCAAATCATTATGACTGATAAGCGATGCTGGACAGGGGATAAAGACCCAGGAGGTTGTGGAACAGCAAAATGGGGTGGAAAATAAACTGGGGGTTTACATAAAATATTAGCTGACTTGGGTATAAGGATGTACTCTGGCAGAAGCATGATGTCATATCCAGATATCCACCCTGTGGCTACAACAGACTTTGAAAGCAGAAAATGTTTTAGTTTGACATTGTGGTGTCATTGCCACAGAATCAAAACACCAATACAGGGCAGAGGCATCAGCAGGCCAGAAAGCACTTGAACCTCAAACCATGCTGTGCTTTCAGTTGTCAGTGCACTTCGCTTTTCTTGACTGGGGAAAAACACCTCCAGCTCTTGAACTCCTACATGATCTCCATCTCCATGTACACGTTTCAGTCGCAGGAGATGTGAAAATATACAAAACATTTTCCGTGAGCTGTAAAAATGGTATTATGGGAACTAACTGAACTAAATGAGGCAGGTTGAGAAAAAACAGACACACAAAAAAATTAATAAATAAATCACAAATCATTCACTGAATGCTCACTGCTTTACCCCCTCATACACCGAGGGACTATGCATTCCCAGCCCACCTACCCCCCCACCCCGAACCACTCTATCTCTTTACTGAAACCATATGTTCTGGGCTCCCACCGGCAGACCTTCCTTATCAACGCCACAGTGATGAAGCCTTGGCTCCCACTGAGAGAAGGGGAGCAAGCCCAGCTGGATCCTGGACTGAGAGTGCTGGGGAGATTTGCAGAGGATTGGCGCTGGTGGTGGGGGCTGATGTTTCTTTCTGCTTTTTGTTTAGTGTGTAGGCTACTCTTTTAGCAATAGAGCACTTGTGCAACCATAGTCCACACACAGAGACACCATCTGCAGCTTAATATTAATAAATAAAAAATAAAATCCCCTTTAGATTATCATGACTATGAAAAATACTGGCTAAATCTTGACACTCCTTTTCACGGCAGCACTGACTGTACAAAGGGCACTCTATGCAGAGGCATCTGAAAACAGTATTTCCCTAAAGCCTGAGCTTATCACTCCTCTGTGGTTTTACACTGCATAGTTTAAATCAAAAGATGCCAATTGATGTGATGATGGAGAGACGTGCGGTGGAGGGCCGAGGCACTGACAGCTTTCAGATGTCCAGAGGAAGAAGCCTGAAAGACTTCCCTGATAAATCACTGGGGCTTTGTTTTTATCGTGATGCTGGAACTAGGTTTGGGGGGCGGGGGTCCTTCTGCTGCCTGATCTCTCTTGTAACAGAAGATAAGCCTTGGCTGCCTCTTGTGTAGAGAATAAATGAAGCAGTGTCACAGAGATCAGTGTGCAAATGTTAAAGGAGTTCAGCTGATTCCTGTATACATGCATCACTGACTTGAGGACTGCAGGATCATTTAGTATGTTCAAAACACTAGGACACAGTGAGCTGTCTCTGCAGATGAACAGAATTACTTCAAAGATCTTTGAGGAAGTTTCTAAACATGTGACACACAAGAGAAAGAGGGAACCAAGACCATTTTTGACAAATACTTGCCAGATGTTGAAATTGGAACATGTACAGAAGCACACAAAAAAAACTGCCTTTTATCAAAATATCAACATTTTCAATCAGAGTTGTCTTTTGATGAAGACTGAAGATATCCCGAACCCCTACCAGCTCAGGGGAGATATTTTATAGCTGACCCTGACCTCTGGCCTTTGTTGTGGAGAGGGCACCACAACCATGGGCTTCCCTACTCAGGCAATAAAGCACAGACACATTATTACTGTCACATTAAATTAAGTCAGACTGGAGAGCACCTCGCAGACCACCTGCACTGTGCATGTAGCATAGATGGCAAGGAGGATGGAAAAAGAAGACTGATGAAAAACGACAGTCTGAATATTCTCCTGCAGGTGGAAGCCATCTATACTGGCACTAATGTCGGTGGCTGAAAAGAGTGTGTTAAATTACCAGGGCATTATTCATCGAAGGCAGCTGATGTACAACGACTGAATGAGTACTTGTGCTTATCGCTGCCTGGTGGTGCTGAACGCTCATGAATATCTTTTTATTTGCAAAGCCAGCGTGAATTCAGCTCTCGAACCTGAGCTTTAACACACAATAGCGAGGTGTGAATTCCTCTTCCCCCGCCCCAGCATTAATCCCAGTACACTGAGCTATAACATAGTTATCTAAGAACAGATTTCTGGCTGTGCTGATTGCTAAGATGACCTGCAGCAGGTTGGACACAGGGAGAGCTGTCAGGTCTGTGGGAAGACAAGCGCTCAAACCCGAGCTGCTGCGAGGCGTGTCTAACTTCTGCAGACTCCTTATATTTAACTCTGACATGGCACTAAAAGTTAAGCTTCTAATGAAGAAAGTCACCCCAAACCCAACAGAAGTGACCAAGGTGTCTATACCAAACACATAAACTACAACAAACGGAGGATATGTTGTTGTTTTTTCCTGTAAGACGCGCCACTTCATGTTCTGTATATCCGCCGAATTAAAGAGCGTAGTCCGTGGTTTGACAAAATGTCAGCAGTTGTCTGAATGAACGCATGAGACGTGCAAATAGAAAGGCCATATGGAATTTAAAGGTTTATCAGTGGAGTTTGGCGTGCCATTCTGGCCGCGTAGGGCAGCGCGGAACGTGGACATAAGCAACGTGAAAGGTACCGTGAAACTTACCGACTGAAGGAAAAGCAACGTGCGAACATAATCCCTCTCCGTGCTCAGCAATTCATTCAGAACACAAAGCCTGAGTCGCTGCTGTCGGTCCGAGTCCTTGGCGGCGTGGATACCGTTCTCCAGATGCCCGTCGTCCTCTTCCATGATGGTAACTCGGTCCTCAGAAAGGTCGCTCCTTACAGAAATACTCTTCTTTCCCGAAGTATCCACACTTTGCCGAGTTACTGCTTCAGTCCATTTTGCAGCAGCAACTTGTGCAGTGATGCGCGACGCACCACACGCTAGAAATAAAGTTCATTAAAAGTAGCAAACAACAAGCAGAGCCGGAAAGTGTGCGGTCGCAACAACAGCTGAGAGCGAGAGAGACAACAGTGGATGCGTTCAGAAGAGGAGGAGGAGGGACCCAGTGCCACACGCACATACACAGGGGTCACTTCTGCTCTGAGCAGTGAGCTCACAAACATGTTCTCTCTCTCTCTCTCTCTCACACACACACACACACACACACACACACACGAAGCTGTACTCGTAGTTCACATTAATTTCTGAGGAAGATTAAAAGGCACAGTACATTATAAACTCATTAAATGACTGTCCTCAGTTGGAGAGGTAAAGTGGCTCCAAGGGAAACTAATAGGCCTAAGTACTAAAGTGACTGTAGATGCACACTAGGGAACTCCAGAGTCCATATAAATATATTGAAGCTGACAATAACAGACTGAAAACACACTGCAATGCACACCATAGACTGGAGACTGTTCATCTTTGTGGCTTTTTGTAACTCCATGAAATGTAATAAGCAGTAAACTAGACACAGCCTACTGTCAGTGGAGATTTTAATCATAGATTTTGTGTGGTAGTGTAAATATACCACGCATTTGAATCCACATTCCTTTCTAGAGCATTTAGCCTTCCCATGCAGCTAAATAAAAAAGGGGGGGGGGACATACAAAGATTAAACAAAGAGGTAGCAGTTGTGTTTACACAGCAATTCAAATGCAAATGTGTTAGCAACCTGAGAAAAAAGGGTCAGAAAGACAACCGTACAGGTATAAAACATACACTGTTGTTATAAAAGCATGTTTTTAATTAAGGGTCAAAAACGACAATAGTGTAAAACATGTCAAATGACGTATATTTAGCAGGTTAGCTGAATATTTACACCCCTACCTGCCACCATGGCATCACACACGCAGGATGCTGGAAAATTTGAGAAAGACGCCCTCTGGTGGACACACAGACAAATGCAATGTTGAAAAGGAACGTTTGGTCTAAAATTTCAGGTATAACCACTTTAGTTTGTTTTCTGATGTAGCATCGACGTTTTGTCTGTATAATATGCACAGAGGCTACTGGCCGTGGTCTCAGCTACTGATGGATGTCGACTCAATGTTTCTTTTTCCTAGTCCTAAAATTATGTTGAGCTGATCCTCTTCCACATGAAGTGATTGCTGATGTTTGTGCAGCAGCAGAAAGACATTTAAATGATTGTTTTTCCATTTCAACCAGTTCCATGAAAAGTAATGGGCTTACACCTGTGCTTGCTAGTGTATGCATTGATGGGTCCTTGACTAAAGAAGGTGAACAGCCTTCACTGTTAAGCTTGTGAGTATACTATGCCAATACAATTAACAATTACAGTTACACTATATTCAGCATAGCTTCAGGGCATGGAGGCACACCTACTGTACAGGTCTGACCCAGATCTGTTGGATGTTTAATCAAGTTACAGCCGGCTTATTTAACTGTTCATAGTTTTCATTGGGCTGCATTGTTAACACCACCTAGTGTAAACAGCACGCTAACTGACTGAAGTGCCTGCTTTATATTCTAGTGTAATTTTGGCTATCGCTACTATAGACTAACTGAAATCTAAATCTAAAGCCCAAGTTGCATCTGGAAAAAGAGTTTTATCATTAGAATATTAAACAGTAAAAATGGAACTTCATTTTATTCCTCATCAAAATCCTGTGAACAAAAAGTCAAATATTAGGGAGAAATTAAAACGTCACCAGTTTTAATTGATGCATATTACATTCATTGCCCACTGTGATGCTCCCACACATAACTGCATACACACATCTCAGGTGAATACAACAGACAACTAGTAAATGCCATACACCATCATATATTTACATATTATCCTCCGCTTCTGTACATGGCAAATCTTTAAATATGATCAAACATAAGAGGAGTAACATAGAATACAATGTATGACTGATTGTATGTAGGTTCTTTGAAGCATGTTTAATGTACTTTTTCCTTCCAAAAATGTGCATAAAGCACGATCATAAAAAGGGAGTCACACTTAGATGACAGGTTAAAAACTCGACAACGGCTCTTCTTCATTCATATTTCACAAGATAAAACTCTTCCTTCAGCAGGGTTTTCTTTCAAAATGCACAAAAGTACAAAAGAATAAGGTAACAAAGGGGAACAGAAAATGTGCTCAGTGCATTAAGACTTTCCAATATAACAAAGCAATGAGAGGCGTTTGCATGGTTCCATCTGTGATAAATAAATTCACATTGTTACAGGCAGACAGTGAGAGGGCTTGAATAAAAACCAAAGTACAGTGAGTAAACCAAAGCAAAACAAATTGTGAAGCAAAAGGGGAAAAACTACTAAAATATTGGTGAAGGCAAAACTTCTCATTTCTGTAGTTCAAACGCAATATAACTGACAAGTTGTATTGTGTTAGTGTTTTTTTTTTTGTTTTTTTAATTAGAGCGTTGATCAGCCAAAATGAGTATTAAAGCCTTTGAATACATCACCATAGATACTTCAACTGTTCTATGGCTCTGTTTGGTATTGGTAAAGATTTCTGTAGCCCTGCAATCATCAAGTGCAAACTCCAAGAGCTCTGTAACGTCCCTCATCATCCGTAAAGTCAAGTGTTACAAAGTGTTCAGATTAAACCAAATCTAGGGTGAGTCTTGAAAACTGAACTTGTCAAAACTTATCTTGAGATTCTCATTTGTTTCAAGTGACATAACTCCTCTTTAAATGTCACGTATAGGGTGTGGGGTCACAACTATGAATCCTTGTAGTGTCAATAATTTGAGTGACTGAATAAACATACATGTAGCCACACACACACACACACACACACACACACACACACACACACACAAATGGTACAGGGGCTGTTGTGATGAGAGAATGTACTGACCGGCACAGACAGCGCAAGTGGCAGAAATGGCATCAACAAACAGTAACGCAACATAGAATTCCTATAAATCATCTGGAACATAAAAAAAACTATAAACACCAATAACTATGTGCTCAGTCTGCTGCTGCAATGGCCGAATCAGTGTTCACACTAGGAAGACATTGGCAGGTGTCTGAATGACAAATTATATCATAGGTTAATGCTGTCAGTCATTTCTTTGCTGTCCTGAAGCCACCTGCCTTGAATCAGCAGCAGTGTGCACAAAATGTTATGAGACTTGCATGTTTATCACCTTGGCAAAAATCCCACCATAAATTTGCTGGACTAAAAGAAATCCAGATATGCAGATCTGGGTTTTGGACACACCTCTGTATTACCAAGCCATTATGAAATTCACTTGAATCTCCAGATTTAAAGGATCAACTTTTTACAAGTTCAGAAAGGCCAACAGTGTAACTATTGTATTGCAGTTAAAGACAAGCAGAAACTCTTTTGCCACAAAGCATGAACCTAAATGAACAGAGACAGTCGATGTGGAACTGCAGCCGTTTCATCTTCAGTGAGCAGCTGCCCGACATAGAAATGTAGCTATTTCACCTTGGCAAGGTTTTTGACGCTTTGCTCTCAGAGTCAAAGGCAGACAGTGTTGATATATATATAAATAACAAAATAGTACAGTATAAATATAAAGATTCTGTGTGTGTGGGTGTGTGTGTGTGTGTGTCTGTGTGCACGCGCACAGTTATCAAAGTTGTCTGAGTGTAGGATAAGTGTGTGCGGTGTTGTGTGCGCTTGTGAGCCAGTGTTAGGACAGAACAGGGGTGTTAGAGGTGAGGCTTTCCCTCCCCCACCTCGTGGAAGAGCGAGGTGTAAAACTCAGGCTCCAGTTGTTTGTTGCGGTAACGCTGGACAATCTCAGTTATTTTCTGCTTTCGCCTCACGTGAGGCGGGTTGTACAAGTCACTCTCCAGACGCTTTCTTCGGCACACGTTGATCACTGTTTGACGCACGAGAAACCCTGGGAGGAGGATGCAAAAACATCAGCTCAGACGTGACAGCACAAGATGTATAGCCACAGATAAAAGTTATGAAGATGGAGGTGTTACTGAAGGACAATAACTGCTTTTGAATGCACACTTTTATGTTTTAGAAAACCAGAGCAACCTTCAAACACAGCTTCCAACTATGACATCTGTTGGCCATAAGTAGCATTACATGCACTGAAGCGCACAGTGAGGTTTAGCTTTCAATGTAAAGTTATGTATCAGTATGTGAGAGAGAAATACTTCAAATGATTTCTCTTATGGTACTGCTAAACCATGATGCTGCCACTGGCTTTCTCTCCCAGCGCTGACACCTTCTTCATATTACAAGCGTGAAATATTAATGTGTGCACATTACTATTTCAGTGGGGTCATCAAGGATCCTTGATGCATTTCTGGAAACAAAAAAAAAAGGAACTGTGGCAGTGAGGGACAAACCAGAGCAAGCCATATGAGGCGTTACCTAGAGCTCTGCGGCTGACCACCATGCCATCCACCAGGGGAATCACCATGCCAAATTTGCCCACAGCTCCATGCAGCCGGATCCTGAAGAGTCCCGTCTTCAGAGGATGAATGAAAATCAGAGGAACATCCTTCTCAAGTAACCCTGACCTGCAGCAGGTACAACAATGAGAAAAGTAGAGAGAAGAGCAAAGTGGAACGATAAGAAAGGCCATGTTTGTCATGTGTCCCCACAGGAACTGACTAAATCTGTTGACATACAGAGTGACTTGCAAGAAAGGCAAAAATATTACACTTTCCAATATTCCATAATGCAATATGACTCATCCTACAGCCTAACAACTACCATATCAAGGTGCACACAACAGTGAAAGGTTTTACAAAGCTAACATGCATCACAGGGCAGTATAATGTTGCATTTTAACATACAGGAGTTTCCTCGTTGTCCTAGGGGTAAGCCATTCTAAACATGTTTGAATTATGAGGCAATGGTTCCTTTAAAAATAAGGAAATAATTAATAATGAAATATTCTATTTACGTTTTTGCTGTGTATCAACACACAGAATGTGTCACTTGATAGTCAGATACAATGACATTTAAAAATGGTAACTGCATGTATACCAGGTATTAACATGTACACTGTCTTCTTGACCAATCAGACCGCCATTATGTAGCACCCCACTGAACTTAAGTGTAGATGTTACTGTTTTTACTCCACATGAAACAATTACCTAGGCAGAGAGAAGCCTGACTGGCCTTTGCAGCGGCTGCTGTTTTCAGCATTTTAGTGTCCCAAAATAGTTTGTTTGTACTGAAAAGCAGAACAAGTCAATTTAGCAATGTTCGCAAATGGCACCCACCCTTTATCTTTCAAAGAACATGAACCCTCATAGAAGTAATGCCATTAAAAGTAAGTAAGCATTACATTGGATCAGACCATGCAATTTCAGAAAACACTCTCTTAAATAGGAACAATGTTTCACAAAAACTGAATTTTCCTTTAAGGTACTTCACAGTTCCTTTTCTTGGCCTGCTTTTGCACACACTGCATGTTGTACTTCCTGTTTTGCACTCTGTGTTTATGCACTTCGTTATTCTGCATGTCAAAGCACATGCTTTTTTTTTCATTTCTGCACCTCATCAAAACCAAGTCATGAACCATGATATACGGGCAGCAGAGTGTTTAGAGTGTAAACCTCTGAATACCTGCAGGAAGTGCTGTTGCTCATGCTAGCTTCCAAGCCCGTGCTAGTTTCCCCCAAGAGATCAGATAACGGGAAGTTCTCTAGAAACACAAAAACAATGACATTCATATACCCCAAATCCAAAACAAATAGAAGAATCATCTTTTTTGCAGCCATCTTTTAAGCCCACAGAGGTTTGAGTATTGTGTGGAGTAACCCACTGTCTGAGAAGAGAATATATAAGAGAATATTCTATGGAGAGAGAAAATATTTTTCCTCAACACTGGTGCTATCAAATTACAGAACAGGGGCAAGTATGTGCCTACCAATATCATCAAAGCGCTCGACCCAGATCACAAACACCTTCGTCTCAGGGCCCAGTGGTGGGAAAGACTTTCCAGTTGAGGACCTCTTTGTCCTCACCAAAGGACTCAGCTGAAGAAATATCACAATTAACAGTGAGTTTAAAGCAAAATAATAAAAGAAATCAGTATCAGCGCTGTCAGCATAAAGGTGAGAAGCACTCACATAAGCCAAACTTTACCTTTTTGGCAGACTCCAGGTTTTCAGAATGGTTGGGGAACAGCTCCAGTGTGAAATTGGGTTGCTTGAGTAAACCAGGCATGAGGTCTGTGTTGCTGTCTGCCTCCACTGTGGAGTCACTGTGCACTGATGACTCTTCTGGGAAACAACCGAGAACAAATGGCAATTCTATTAGCCCTGAATCCTTCACTGGGTTTTCATCAGTTCATACTCAAGGTGGTGAACACTGACCAGAATTTTCTGTTAAAGATGGAACAACGAAGGCAATCTCTGTTAGAGCATCAGCATAGTACAAGACTTTCTTCTCCCCATTGAACACTGAACCTCCTGTGTCCTCGGGCATAGCTGCATCTTCTACAGTAAAACAAAATAAAAGTTTAACATTCACTTAAGTTACAACAAATATCCAACATGTAAATAAATGTACATTCAAGTCTCCCTTGCAGCGGTTAGCTCAGTAGCTTACCTGTTTGTTGTACATCATTGCTGTCAGAGCAGGAGTTGAGGGACCAGCTGGTGTCTAGGTGTCCCGTCCACCCCGGATACTGGACGATGACTCCACATTCCTCAGGATCTGATCACCAAGAACAAGAACAGATGCATTAGTGGAGAGATTTTTATACACATATTCAGTTAATTACATGCACACTGCAGTTAAATTCAAGCCATTTTCATTCTAGTCATAATTAAATGACAAACACAAGCTGTAAAGCATCATGTATTATTTTGTATTGGTTTATACCAAATCTGTTGCATCTTACTGCAAGCAATCAGCCTAATTTCACTCACCTCAGAGCTGCTTTTCTGTCCAGCTCTCACATAGAAAATAAAAACTGTGTCAAATGGTCGACAGGGAAGCAGGTCTAGGTAGCTGATATCGTCAAAAAACCCTGGTAAGGATGACTCCAGGCCAATCAGATGAGGAGGTAGACGACTGTTGTTGGGCTCCTGTGAATAAGACATGAACATAAATATGCTCTAAATAATCTGTATTAAGAACAACATTATAAAGGAATACGAGTACTTTACACACTACAGTGTAATTATCATTTATCCAACAGAATGAAATTAAATCACAGTGCAAAGCTGCCAATAAAAGTAAAGTATAGGTAGCTGAAAGGCTTGTATCTGATACTGGCAGAAAATGTTTTTTGCAACTTCAGTCCAAGAGATTTTCTCATCAGCTATGAAAAACTCATGAGATGCATTATGTTTACTAACCTTGAGCGCCTCCAGAGACAGAAAGCCAAAGTGGGAGAGGAAGAGGCGTGCTGTCTGGAATTCCTGTGAGGGTGGAGGGGGCTTGCAATCTGTCTGAGGGTCAGGGAAATGCTTGGACTTCCAGATTTCCTCACTGTGGCGCTCCAAGGCATTCTCATACTCGATCTGCTTGGTCATCAGAACACGAAGCTTGTCATGCTGAACTTCCAGCTGAAAGACAGACGAGTACGGGACATTTTTAAAGAGAAATTCCAGAGGCTGTGGGTGGTGACTGGCACTCACTTTCATAAACTCAGCAATATCCCACAGATACAGAAGTATCACTTTCCCATGTTGATGTGAAGAGAGTCACCGGTTTGCATTTGTGCTTGAAAACTTTGGTATCAAAGGTTTAATCAGAGAAAGAGTGAAACCTGTACAGTCTAATCCAGTCCAGTACAACAGCCCTTAAATAAGTCCATATCTTTGGAAACTTGTTACATTCACATTCTGTAGGAATATTTCAGCCCACTGTTAGTAGTGGTTAGTTGTTGCTTGGTTTTTGCATTAAAAGCTACAAAGTATTACAACGGCATTGCGTTGTACTGAGAAACTGCACAAAACCAAACCAGATGATTTTACCCTTTTCTCCAAGAGACACTCAAGTGAGATTTCATCTCTTCAACAACTCACATGTGGGTAATTACTCATCGGTTTATTTGTAGCTTTTGAATCATCCTTCCAACACTCCTGAGTTTGAATAACAACAATAATATGATTCATTAATTTATTTCATGGCTCTGTTGTAGCCGTGACAATAAACAATCTTGTTTTAGATTATACCCATAGTAGAGTCATTTGATTTGCATGTAATTAGTCATATTATGAATACAAGATCAATAACAGTGTTCAATAGGAAGCAAAACTCACCTCTTTACTAACGATGTCATCCAGGTCAGGAATACTGACATCAGCTTTGACAAGAGGAATCTTATCCACCTCTTCAGGGAAGGGCCTCTGTTTGACATTGTACTTGATCCCAACATCATTGTTGGGTGTTGGACGACCCTCAGGAACAAACACCTGCTGTAGAAATACACAGATACACAGTTGTGTTATCAGTGAAACGGTTGTGGAGTTACAAGTTTTACAAATCCACAACTTCAGCATATTGTTTTTGCATTATTGCTTTAATCTACAGGGTGACCTCACCCTCTGATTGGCCCGAGCTCCTCTGGGTTGGTGGAAGAGCTGCATGGTCCAGGCGTGTCTGCCAGCTGTCCCTCGGATCAAAACTGTCACTGAGGGACTAGGGTCTGTGAGGAAAGAGATGTTCTCATTTATGGAGAAATAAGTCATCCTACAGATTCTTGATTTTAATTTACCAGTGCTTGGTACTTGGACAGTTATACAGGCTCTATATGCACATTCAAAATGTACTTACTAAAAAAAAAGAAAAAAAAAAGAAAAAGAAATTCATTCTCCATGCTTTCACAATAAACCTATAAAATGTCAATAGGATGGATAAGCTACTCACTCTGCTCATTGCCCAGAGGCTGTTCCAACATGGCAAGGATGACCGAGTTGTCCAGAACAAAGTAGCGGAAGTTGCTGGCTCCTGTGGAACTGAGTCTGGCGTAGCGAATCAGGATGTCTTCATTCAGCAGGCTGCAGGTGGAGGAGGGCCCGCTGGGAGAGGGGAATGCCCCCAACACCTGCATGATACTGGGGAACACCACAAGACAACTGGGTCAGTGGGTACAACATATTTCAATTTAACTGTCATCTGTGCAGGAAGAATGGGGGGGGGGACTAGGTCACTGAAGAAGCAGAAAAACAGATGAAATACACAGCTGTGTTTATAAAAAGAGATTTTCAATTTATAATTGGGGGGGACACCTTTAGATATTCAGAAATACTATTTTGTATGTATTATGTATTGCTTTGTTTTACAGTGGCAGCTAGGAAATGTCAAGTTGTTTCTTTTTATGTACGATGTAAACCTGTGTAGTTATTGTGCGAAAGTGAACATCATAAGTTGTTCTAACCGCTATAGCTGACTAGCTAACTATCATACCGTTTTCCCATATGAACTCCAGACTATGTCTGCACAATCAGGTCCAAACTTTGCCCAAAGTTCCTTTTCACATATGTAGCACACAATAGGAGATCATCCATGTCAAACACCTCACATTTGGTTTATGCAAGTGGGGAGGGGGCACCTGGGTAGACCATGCAAGCCATGCCGTGGTCACATAGCCAGTTTGTAACTTGGTCATAAACAACTCAGTCTAGCCATACCTTAAATTTGTCTACTGATTCTGGCTCCAACTCTTTAACAGAGGTTCCAGAATCTCATTGTGGAACATCATCAACACACCCACTAGTTAGGTGTGAATACTCCAGACTATAAGCTGCTGTGTTCTCACACGGGTTCACTCAGACATTGTGCAAACTTTGTACTAGGGAGCTGGCAGGGTAAAGTCTACTTAATGTTCATAGTTCAGAGCTCTTTGGACTCAATATCATACTCTGTCCCATTTAAAAAGTTCTGGAATCATAATGCTTACTGTTTTATAAAAATATTTTGTTTTAACCAACAAATGTGTGTACTGTAAATTATGTGTACTGTTTTATCCTTAAAACATGGCCCAGTACACATAATATTAGTCCGGCTTCCACCAGTGGAACTTTTCCCAGAAAGCAGGAACTTTTTCAGAATGCAATTCCTCTACCTGCATTTCCACCGGAGAAACCAGGGTCTGAATTTATTTCCAGGTATAGTTCTATCCCCTGAAAAATAAGATCCCCCCTACTCAGGGGATAGTAGTTTCTAAAGGTCCAAGAACTATCAGGGTGAGGGCCGCAGAGCTGAACATTAGATTAGATTAGTTTACTCACATAAGTGAGTACAAGTGATTTGGGCACAATAATTCTGAGTTCCTTGGGTTTTGAGTTTGTAAGGAGCATTTTATCAGTAGGCCTACACAAAGAGACCAGTGAGTGAGATCAGTGGACTGGAAAATATGGTTCTGGTGCTTATGGTGTGGCTTCTCCATACACAGAGCACAGCGGGCAGAGGCCACAGGAGGAGGGCATGAAGTGAAACGTTACTCAGAGTTAGCAATTCCCATGCTTGTTACTGTATGTGCGATAAAACTTTGGCAAATTAAATACAACTGTTAAACAAGCATCAACTTACAGGAAAGGGATAGCATGCCATTTATGTGAAGCCTTCAGACAGATTTCCTCTTTAAAACAACAAGGAGAAACTAAATCAACTGTAATTCTGCTCTGTTATGTATAAACACTGAGGAGTCTCACCAGGACAAAGTGGCCTCAGCAGCGTCCTTCACCCTCATTGAAGCTGGGTTGTGCTCCTTATCCCCTTTATATCGGACTTCCTGTTCCTGTCGGGATTTGCTGCCAGAAATTCCCAGCTCCACAATCTCCAACACCTCCATCAAACAATCCTGATAGAAACAAAAACAGTTTATTTAACAAGATACCAACTCTCTTTATCAGAGGAGAAATATTTTAAATCCCGTCCTTATAAACTGACCTTCTCATCCAGCATGTCAGGGTGCTCTGTGAGCCACACACACAGAAACTGAAAGGCAGCTACAATCATGGAGTGGAGGTCACGGGACTGGAGTGGAGCTGGACGGCTACACTGGTACACAATGTACCCACATATAGAGCTGACTGCACGTTTACGGTCTGCAGAGTCTACTCCTACTTTTACCTGGTTCAGACATACAAAAAGAACAGGAAATATTAGATAATTACAAAAATTCATTGAGCACAGTACCTGGATGATTAGGACAACCACATACTGCCATACCCCTCTCTCTCTCCTCACATTTCCTGTTTGTAGCTCTTACCAATATCAAATGAAGGGAAAAAACTAAAACTAATTTTATCCCAACAATTTTTTTTATAAATTTATGTGCATAAACAATAGGCTGTTTTATCAAGTTATAACACATTTAATCATTTTAAATAAAAGTAATGAAGTTACATTACAGTATTGTTAGAACTACTATGTGTGTAAATTTAAATAGCTTCAATGTTTGTGTAATATCAAGTTCCAGAGAGGTACATATTAAAGCCAATTATCATCCTTTTGACTAATGTGACTAGCATCCCATTCAACCTTCACAAGGCAGAGAAACTGCAACTGTCTCTGTGCAGAAACACGTCTTGTTCTGGAATTTCATGTTACTTTGTTGACACATCAAGGCAATTCCCTTTTAATTGCCTTGAAATTTCTGACTCAGAAGTTGACATGAACCACTCAAATGCAGCATTAGTTTTGCATTAAAAAAGTTAGACAACTGTATGTCTTTTAGTTTGTCCATGTTCACCCAAGTCAGCAACCAGAAGGTCTGTTGTACTATACCAAGGCTCATAGAAAAGCCCCTATTCAAGAAACCAGGTGTATTAAAGGTGTTCGGCCTTTTACCATGGCAACTGTTGGCCTTAAGCTAACCTGGTATATGGCATGTTAACTTGATCTTTATCCCTGGTCTTATCTAACTAGTGCACCTACTTCCCAAAGGAGGCAATCTAGCATCACGGAGAACAAAACTACTTAATGCACAGTAACTGTCACAGAGTCTCCGTAGTGTTTTACTTTACCTTGGCAAGCCCAGCCAGCAGCTCCAGAGCAGCCAGTGAAATGCTCATGTCTTGCCTCCACTGGGAGTTAAGTCTCTGAGTGACCAGGTGGATGCTGCGCACCAGCAGGCCTGTCGCTGTATCTGAAAGAGCTAAACCATATAACACCCGGAAATACCAAACACTGCAAAGACTAGAGCAAAGCATAATTCAGGCAACAAAACTGAAGTGAACAGGACTATAGGAAAAAGGTCTCCTGGATGGATGCCCAATTAGTAGATACTGCATATGTCTTGGCACTGAAAACATGCATTAGTAGAGATGAATGTTCAGCACAGCACACAGGGTTGAGCTAAATGTGGGTGGGCTAAGGAGTTCATAGTAAACAAACTGCTGATGAACAGGGCTGAGAGGTGTCAACATTTTCACATCATTTTTTTGAATGAGTGACTTTGGGGATAAAAAAAAAAAAAAAGACAATTGTCCAAAACCAACTAAATAAATTTTGTCCCATTTAAAGATTTCACCGCTAAATGAAGCATAAATATACTGTTGACATATCCTAGATTTTGTGTGAAATAATCAATTCCTATGATTTTGTACCATTCAACACAAGGTCCTTCATGTGGAATAGGCAACATAAGAGAGCAGTCACAACTTGTCAGCCAGTACCACACACTTCCCCAGTTTAACCTACAATTTACAGAACTCGTCATAAAATATAGTCTTAACACGTTTGTGTTGATGCTTCAGTATTAGGCCTCTGATTGATTTCCCATCTCATAATGAATTGACTGCAGCTTATATAATACCTGTCTCCAGACTCCTGCCTATTCTCAACTCTTGTGTTTCCTGTCTAGTAAAGAACCACACAAGACAATGTCCAAACACAAAAACCCTCTGGAACAACCCCCAGCCCCCACCCCCCCATTTCCTGCTACACCACGTTGTCTATAAACAGCACAGTGCTCAGTGAAAAAAAGAATTGTGATGAAAATGAAATAAATGGTGTTACCAATTCCTAAAAATTTTTAAAGCCCTCTCACTTCAATGTCCAACACAGGAATTCAGTCAAACATCGCTCAGCCCTCCTAGAAAAAGATAAGTCTTTGAAATGCAATAAATAAGGCAACACTGTTTCAACACATCCATTAGAGAAGAAATTGCAATCAGTCCTATCACTCCATACATCTCAATGCCAACAGCACAGCAACACAAATAACTTTGTATCACCTACAAAGACATTTTACCCACAGTATACCACTTTAACCGTGTTAGCTATAAAGAACAAAGGTGTTAATTTAGTAAGTTGCATGTTTTGCACTGATCAGCAAGCAGATACTTAAAACAAGGCTCTAAGAAGCCTGTTAAGCATAATCTGACCAAAGCTTGCACTATTGTGTTAATTCACCAAGCACAAAGATATTAGTGCATGTGTAGCAGCTGTGTCTTACCGTAGTCTCGAAGCAGGGCCTGGACAGGACGTTCAGGGTCTGGGCTGGTGGCCTCTGTGCTGCCTCCACTGGTAAAACTAATGCCACTGTTGGTACGGCTGTGACTCTGACTCTTCACTGTCATGTGGCTCCCATCTATACTCCCCTACCACCACAAAAGCACAGCAATCTTGATGTCCAGTCCATCACAATAGTGCTAGCATCACAAAATGTTTACTACTCATCAGCAGAACAAAAAGCCATGATCTGAGGCTTACTGTTTCAGTTTGTGCACCTATGGACTCCAACAGTGCTGAGTCTTGAACAATATTCAGCATTGCACCTGAGAAGAGGAACATAAAAACAATATAAAGACTTGAACACAACCAGCATAAACACAGCACAAGTAATGTGGAGTGGCAAAATAAATCGATGAAGAAGATATAAGGAAGCCAGTAGATACCCAGGATGAACTGTGTGTTAGTGGGGTCAGTCTCAGTCTGCAGTGCTCCTATCAGGACATTGACAAGACGTAGCCTCAGGGACAGAAAAGACACAGGCTGGTCATGAGGCCATCCATCCTCCTCATTGAACTTTCCCTCCAACAGAACCTAAAAACACCAAGTCAATATAGTTAACATCCAGGTTTATCTAAAAATAATGCAAACAACAAAAACTTCATGAACTACGTAGTTGAAAATTTAAAGAATGACCCACACCTTCATTCTTTTAATTTGCTTTATTAAAAATTCAAATATGCTATGAGAAAAGAATAAATGACCTAGTAACTATAGATGGTTCAAAACCTGCTAAATCCTGCATGAAAATGGCTGATAAGAATCCAATACAATGGCAGAAGAAGACTGTATTATTAGCTCAATGAGAAGTAAGAGATATCAAGGCTGTTACCTCTGATTTGATATTGCCAAAGTGATGCGGCAATGGCAACATGGCAAGCAGGATGTTGATGGAGGCTCTCCTCAGGTCAGTAGGATTTACATAAATCTTGAATTTGGACAGCTCCCTGAAATAGTATAACAAATCCCATAGAGATAAACTTAAGACAACATGCTCAAAACTGACCACGGTGGAGAAACTAAGATAATATGGTTATCTACAGCAGTTAAATCAGCTCATTCATGAAAATGTTACTCAAAAAAAAAAATGCAAATCATTTATTAACTGATCTAAAGTTTGCGCAAGGTACTTGAAGACTAACCTGTCTGGAACAATAGTCTCAAGTGCAGCTATGAAGTAGGGCACTACCACATTGATGCCCTTTAGGTCAGTACAGAAGAGAGAGGAAGAGTTGAGAATGATAGAAGCCAGAACTGGTCTACAGATGAAATCAGAGATCTGGAGACCCTGAATCAGGACCATGTAGAACCTGCAGAAAGACGTGTAGTAATATATTTGCATTCTACTTATATTTCTGTAAGTTTAAAATCTTAACAGCCAGCACCAAAATAGGCTGAAGTTGCTTTAAATCAGAATTTGGCATAACAACAGCTTTACATTACCTGGACAGGTAAACAGGTAGAATTTCTTCTCCAGTTTTCTTGCTACAAAAGATGCGACAAAGAGTCCCGCAAGCTTCAGCCCGTCCTGCCTCGTAGCTCTCTGGAAACTCGTTAGCATCAAACATGGGGTTAGACACCATGGAGTCGGTGGACATCTGGGAACCCTTCCTTCTCAGTTCCAGACCTACTTGAGTGGCTATTGCTGTAAAGTGGGAAGAGGCAGAGAATGAAAGGACCCTAAATTGTAATGTGATCATTAGTATTCATGCATATATAAGAAACAAGCAAACACAGACATGTGTCTATTATATGCACAGTACAAACAAAATAAACTTTAAAATTGGGGGGAAAAAAAAAAAAAAAAAAAACACGCCACAAAGCAAACATTTAATTACTATCACAACAAGATAGAACAAAGATTTCAATGACTGCAAACAGACTCATCATTTAAAAGGCATTCAATAAAGGGAGCTCTGACACAAAGAAATTGCTATAGAACATCTTCCTATCACTGGCACAAAGCATGAACAAACGTAATGTGCTAGTAATAAAATGAGTCAGTCATTCTCTGCTGCAAGATCCATGTGTCAGCTCCCTTGCTGTTGCAATTATATGACTATCACTCAAGGTACAGAACATTCGCTTCATGCATTGAGGCACCAAACCAATACAATCAAGACTCAAGTTAACTGACAAAACAGAAGTAAATTACAAAAATGTCTGAAACTAAATAAGGATTAGTGTGACCAAAACTAAAGAAAATGAAAATGAGAACTTAAAACTGGGTGGAGTCACAAACTGGCAACGCTATGATTGAGGCAAGTGGTCAGTTGGTGAAACCCATTCCATCACCTCTGGAGAAATGCTGAGAGAACGCTGGTGAACTTTTATATATGACAAGAAATGGGAACAGAAAACAATGGCAACAATGGCAATGATGATGATGAGAAACAACTAAAAAGCAGGAAGATTTATCAAGAAACGCAAATCAAGTGAGGAAAAAAGGCTGCCGTTCCTACTTACAAGATTTATAAGAAAGGAGAATTTGGATAAAAGAGGCTGCAAGATAACAGAAATAGTGGAGAGACACAAAATCAAAGCAGATCCAATATTTTGGGATCAATTCATATCAGACATGAATTGTTTTTGTTCTCCTCAATACATGACTTTTGACCCATTACAACTCTTTAACATTAATCAGACATTGTAGACACGTGCAGGACACTACATCAAAAAGAGAAAAATAAAGGGAGAGCCAATGATATGCCAAATGTATTTTCAAATTGTAAGTACTCTGTGTGCTGTCATTGACTCCTAATAATGATTTTATCCATAAAATGAGTCTGTATGAACTGGTTACAGTTTATATGCAGCTTTAGCCATGTTTTGCTTTGTTTAGCCATGTAAATAGTTGGTAGATGTAAATGAATTACAATCAGATGGAAATCTCATACCAGGCCACTTCTAACCAAGCCCTCCACACAGAGAAAGGCACAACCAAGTTTCAGAGAAAATGGTGATAAAAGGAAAGGATATCACAACGACATACAGTAAAAAATGACACCAAAAACACAGATAACTCCACAAAAACACAGTAACAAACAGCAACAAAACACCCACCTGCACATGCATTAATGAAAACTGTATTAGACATCATCTCACTTCTTACCGGTCATACTAGGGTCTCGGCTGAGGCCACTGTGGAGCTTACAGTGAACCAAAGCAGCGTCAAAAAGCCACTGTCCAAACAGGTTGAGGATGCTGTTGACCTTCGGCCGAGCCGGGGCCGGCAGAGGCCGAGACTCCCAACTGCTCTGGTTGGGGCTGGACAGCATGGTGGGAGAGGACAATGTTTGCTGTTGCTGCTGCTGTTGCTGCTGGGATGCTTTGATTGGTTGACTACCACTGCCCTGCAAGGTGGGTGGGGGCACAAGAAGACATCCAGTTAGGCTGCTAACAGCATGACTAGGGTAATTGGCAGATAACATACAGAAAAGATAAGTTCAAAACATGATTTTTAGATTTCTTCATATAAATAGGACATAAAAACACAGGACATTTCAACTGTCACAAAGGCATTAGACTGACTGAAAATAATGCCACACACATGAACTACTTCTAATTGTTATGGTTTACTGCAGGTGTGGGCAATTCTGGTCCTCAAGTGCAGCTGCCCTGCTTTCTTTCCAGCTATCCCTGCTGACTACCTGGATCAGGTGTTCTCTGACAATCAGAGGCTGAAAGATTCCATCTTAGGTGAAGGTGGAGTGAGGAAAGACAAAATGAATTGGTATCTTTCAGCTTCTGACTGACTGAACACACCTGATCCAGGTAATCAGCAATGGGTACAGCAGGGATAGCTGGAAAACAAGCAGGGCAGTGGCCCTCAAGGACTGGGATTGACCACCCCTGGTTTAGTTTAACACTTAAACTTACCGCTGAACTCTTGCTTGTAGTTTTGGTGACCACTGCATGCCGCTGCTTGCGGTTGTGAGGGGGTGTGGTGTTCGTGACAGAGGGGGGCGGGGACATGCTCATTCTGTTGACTGGGGTGGGCGGGGCACTGTCAGCTCTGGGACGCGAAATACCTGTTGACAGAATGACTGAAATTAGCTGGGGACTAAAGTTAGTTTTTTCCTTATAGTCAGGGAGGATATTTTTGATTTGCCTCATTTAACAAGAAAAAAATCTTTATCCCCACACTGTTCAATTTCATTAAAAACTTACTGGTCACTGTTCTGATGTTCAGTGTGAAACAAACATTCAGGTCAGCTTCAGTGACCAGAGACGACCGAAAGGACAAAGGCAGGAAATCTACACATTTGAACTTTGTATTGTCTACACACTCGGGCATATGGAGCTCTGCCTACAGCAATACCTAGGTGAGGTGATTTGTTAGGCTGAGTAAGCCGAATCATTTGAAGCCATTTCTTCATTTCTAACATTATGAGAAAGAAAAGAAAAAGTGGCTTCAGAGTGTGTCAGATAATCACAGATAATTTGTATACATGCAAGACAACAGTTAGATACAAAATCACCATTAATTGATCACCATCCATCTTGATTGAGTTTTCATGCCCACAGCAGACCCCTTGTTGATGATCTTGTAGTATAGTCTGAATGTCTGTGATGTATCATTTTGCTTCAGCAAGACTAATCCCAGTTAATATCATCAGCCCCAATATATACACCACTCCATCATATGCCCATGTCATTTATTTGCTGTACCAGCTGATGTCTGTACCATGAGAGAGCGGCACTGGACAAAAAGAGACCACCCTTTCCCGTACAGCTTTCTTTTCAACAGAGACACCTACAGCGTAAAGAGAAAAATACACACCGACATGTTTCTATTCAAATGCTTAAACAGATACTGCTGACTAACATCCTCCATCTTGATGTTACTCAGGAGTAGAGGCTAAAGAGTAAAAGCTATTACAAGAACTCAGTGCTGCAAACTCTTCAAGTATCTTACCTTTTTCACAACTCATTATATAGACTTTACATTTCTGCTTACCCCTTTTCTAATAATATGGTTGCTTTGGGTTTTTGAATACATTTTCCTACCCTCCAACCAATCATTGGTATCCACTGATATCACCAGAGTATGAAAATGTGCTTTCAGCAACTTGAACTTTGCATGAGAGAGATCACAATAAACACATTGTCTGGCTTTTTCTTTAGTCGAAGTAACATTTCCTTTACATGTAATTCAGGACCAGCTTTGCAAGTAAAAGCATGTTGAATGTCATGGGTTACTTTAGTAGGTAAATCAAGTCTGAAGACTGCAAATTGACATAGTGGCAACATGAATAAACTTCAGTGATTGTGAACAAAGTAGGGAAATACATTAAAAAACCTCTAAAACATAGCATCATGTACTGCAAAATGGTCTGCAGTAGTGTTAACTTGATACAATCTTACTGTTGTGTTTTACCATTTAATTCTGAAATCTATTCCTCCATTGGTTTTTAAACATTTACACCAAGTCAGTCTTTCCTGACTATCCCATGACTGTACTTTTCATTTTAACTCAGTGTCTTCTTACCTAAGAAAGCATCCACTAGGCAGCTCACGCCCCTCATGGCCCTGAAGAAGATCTGTGGTAGTTGCTTCAAACACGGATGCAGCACCACTTCATGAGGGATACCGCTGGAGTTGAGAAACTGTTCTTGAAACTTTGGAGTGGTGCTCACTACTGCAGGGTTACTCAGGTCCACTGGGTTGCTGGAAACAAACAAACAGCAAAATCAGAGATTAAGCAAAATAAAAAAAAAAAAAAAAAAAAAAAAAAAAAAAAAAAAGCATACAGACATTGATAAACATTTAATATCATTAGCACTGAGATGATGACAGTGCTGCAGTATCATTTTTTGTCTCCCACTGGGATCATAATGTGATGATTTAGACTGACTGAACACATTTGGAACAAACCACGAGAGGAATTGACTTGATGACTTTAAAAACAGATGAAAGGTTCAATCTCTGACTAAGACTAAATTTAGTAGGAGCTAAGATCAAGAAGATGTTTTGGAACAGACTGGATAAGACCAACAGACAACAGATGGACAAACAGATAGATGAGCAAAAGAACTACTTAATAAAAAAAGGGAGGAAAGGAGGGAAAGATGAATGAAACCACAGAAGAAATTACCAGCCATCAAAATAGTGTAAAATAGCATCTTTATAGACATGAAGTAGAGCACGTAGAGAAGGGAAATGTTTATTGGGTAAAGGGTGGTATGAGGCGACTTATTTCCAATCTGTGTTAAAACTTCTCTATCCCTTACATAAAATGCACAAAGAAATGATCTACTGTATGTCAGTAAGGGTTAGCTTGATGTGGAAAAGTTTCCCATGAACCCAGAAAATACAGCAATATTGAGACTATGTACCTGAGCATGTGGAGAAAGCGGTACCACGTCTGTGCCACACAGTCATTGTCCATCTCTAAAGGTATCAGGTTGGCATCCTCATCAGGAACTTTAAAAGGTGGAAAGGATGGTCCATGGGTAAAGCACAAAAGTCTGGATTGGAGAAAACAGACAGGAATGCACAGATTATCGCAGACCCTGAATGCCCATAACCAAAACAGAAAATCTCTTATTTTTCCTCTTGTCATTATTACAACCAGCAATCCAATTGCCAGTTCAGCTACTATAGTTCAGAACCAGGTTTGCTTCTTCCCACTGGACACATGAGTTAAACAAGTTACACCTGAGTAAACCAGATTAAACTAGTCACATGGACAACTTTCTTAACTCTCATCAAACAACAATAACGCAAGTATGAACAAATCTCACTTTCAGTGACAACCTGTATGAAAATGTTTTACAGCACTAAATCCAAAGCAACATGATCTTGAGCTGTGATGCCTTTCCAACCTGGAGGTCAGGGCACAGGCCACTCTGCTCCACTGCTCTACAACAGGAGGGTGGTGTCTCCAGTTGGCCAGCATCTCCCTTGCTGTCTTCCAGTATGGTGGCGTGGGAAAACAACGGGCACATGCCAGCAGCCACACTTCAAACAGCACTGCCATCAACTTCTCTGCCAGTTTCTCTGCCACCCCAACTGGAAAAAAAGTGCACGTTAGGTGATTGTTTTTGTTAGTAATTATCCATAATAACTTAGTAAATACATCAAAAATGGTTTTAGGATAACAGGATAAGGCATACCTCCAACTGTGGGTGGGGCAAGTAATGTGTCGTTGATGCGAAGCAGGAAAAGCAGCAGCACCTCCCAGGTTTCCCTCGCCATGGAAACACTCTCTCGTGCCAGTTTCTGGACTGCAGTCAGAACCTGCTGGCAAAGCCTGATGTGGTTCAGACTGTGCTGTTCAGGCCTGGAGGGAGAGAGTGTTTAAAAAGGGGATAAGGAAGGAACCCAGACAGAAAGTATAACAAAAACAGAAGGCATTGTCAGTGACATCAACAGCAGATATGCACCATGTGTACAATTAACATTTAAAAACTTCAGCTAAGAGGAGACAGTGCCATCTATGAACATTTCTGACATACCTTGGCACAAAGACGTTGTAGAGATGTTTGAGAATAGTCTGCACATACATGTTGGGCTCCTTGACCACAGGCTGAGGCATCGAGCCCCTGGGAGACACCAGAGCCATCATCCAGTCTGTGTACACATCTACACACAGCTTGACAGTGTCTCCTTCAAGAGGAAGGGTGAGGCCATAACACAGCACCTCCATGGTCCACTTCACCTGTGAGCCAAACCACTCTCATTAATTTATGTTAATGTTTTGCAGGAAGTTATGAGTTCTTGATTATTCTGCAGCATTTTGCTATGTATCACACTGCTGAATCTAAATGCACATGACAGAAAAAATGGCAACTCTCAAAACACATTTTCAACAGGATCATATTCTGCAACTGCTCTACTTTTATGTCAGTCTACATTATGTCAAGGGAGTAACCATAAGGAGTTTAGCAGTGTGTCTTAACAGGGACAGCTAAAAGGTAAGGGTAAGGTAGGATGATGATAACAATAATACACCATCTCTTTCGTCCAAGATTTTAATTTTATTTATTTGTCCTACATAATAAAGCTACATTTTAGCCTAAAGTCACCCTAAAATTAAATGCCTGTATAACAGCTGCCCCCTGACAGACTCCTGCAATGTTATGTACCATTTCCTACAGTGTTTTCTGTAGTATTCATGAAGAGGGGAGAGGCAGTTTGGATTAGTGGTGAAAGAAAGGTTTATCCAAGCTTTATCCTCAGCATGAAGTGAGGTTCAAAGCAACAGCAGTGCTTCAAATGCACCTGAGAAATACTGCTGAAATATTTTTAGCCCACAATGCTTCCTGATGCATGCAGTCATATCATTAACTAAAAGTCCTGATTTGCTCTGAGCTCTGTGGTGCACTTGTTTACAGTGGTGTGTTAGCGCTTTATCAGAAAACAGAGGAGACTTTGACAGCCGGTGCATATGACAGGATCGGAAACTGATCTATCTATTGTTTATCAGTGGATACTGTATATAGTGTTTGCTTTAGAGGCTCCAATGTATAAAAACAGCCTTTTACACATGATTTTCACTTTTTTGCATATCCCACACACAGCATGTATAGAAAATAAACACACACAGCCAGCCAAACTATGTTCATTTTTAACAAGGCAGACTTATACCAACAGCACAGTTGTTGTATTTCAAGCCTAAGCCTCCTAAAGAGATAGAAGAAGCTATCTCTATAGCACTTCAACACTCAGGCCTTTAAATACTAGAGTAGCTATGGCAAAGATACTACTGAGAAAAGAAACATGACAGCCCAACTGGGTTTGCCTAATGGCATTTAAATGGACTTTGAGAGCACTTTGAGACTGATCTCAAGACATAAAAATGTTGCTCTTTGGCCTCAATGTCAAACATTACATCTCATCAAAATCAGGGTCAATGAGGGACACAGGTCACTGCAGTGAAACATGGTGGTGGTAGCATCATTCCATGGTTTTATTTGTAAGAACAGAAAATTGGCAAGAATAAGGAAATCATAACTGAAGCCAAAAACAGGTGCTTTAAGAACCCTACTCAGATATGCTTGTGTGAAATAGGGGATGCCCTCTGAATGCAGTGGGCAGGAACCAGCACCCACTGTTTCTTCATTTTGATTGTAGCTTCTTATATGTTAATAGCATCTTGCATTTTTTTCTTTAGGTTTTTTTACCTAAGTTGTTTTTTTTTTTAAGTGAAGCTGTAACATTGTGATTTCCTTTTGATATTAATAAAGCACAAGCAAAAATATCTCTAAATGACTTCAGTTTTTCTAAATAAATGCCTCACAAGTTGTCAAAACCTAGCCTAGAACATCACCAAACACTGCTATGCACTGAGCTCTGGCAACTGATGTTGTCTAGAATACATACAATACTTTATAAGGGACTGATGAGGACAACCCCACTTAGGTCATGTATAATTAAATGTGAAGCTGACAGATCCTGACTGAGCTGGTACCTTAGCAGACCACCAAGGCATTAAAATGATTTGCCAAACATTACATAGTGCATACACCAGTGTGGATCTCCTTCTCACCTCCTTGTCTGTCTTGAGGATGTTCTCTGTGGCGACCGGGCTTACAGCTGTGCCCAAAGGTTTGACCACTGCATTTGCCACCTCTGTGCCCACGGTGGTGGGATAGGCGTGCAGCACACTGAGGTGACCCTGGTCACTCTGCACCATCAACTGCAAGGAGCGCCACTCGGAGTACATGGTGCTGGTGTCTACAGCACTCTACTCGCACCTCCTGCCTCCACCTGCAGACACACACACACAGAAGTCAACTTAATATGGCAAGCTGAGAAAACAGGTAATAGGCTATTTACAAATATCTAGCACCAATACAGTTGTAACCTCTGTTGCCAGCATACGTCTACCCACGCTGTCAATGTTATTCTGCTAAGAGAAAAGCATACACACCTCTTGACGCTAAAGGACGAGGTTCTTTTTGCTAGTCACTTTGATATGGACGACTATCAAAGAGCCATCATGCAATATATTAACTTGTTTAGCCTTAGCTGCTTTATAAATACAGGATTAAAATGTACAAAGGTAGCAACGACGAAAAGTTCAACTATAACACGATTAAAACCGTCATTTGGTGCACCACATACATAGTGAAATATTTTTACTCTTCGCATAGTTGTATTATAGTTCTATTATAGTTATATAATTTATGAATAGCCTGGTTTGAAATTAAGAAGGAACCATCAAGCAGCCCAGATTTGTAATAACTAGCGTTGAGTTTTCTTTTTTCCCAAGACCAAGGATTAGGGTTTGCATTAGCTGTTACATAGCACATGTTAAAAATCTAGTCATTGTGGCCTGTAACCTTAAATAAGAAAACGAGTAATGAAGCATACCACCCATTTATACGCCAAAGCCTGGGTCGGTAACAAGCCCAGGAATCACAACCAGGAAACGTTTCTGAAAACGGTTAGCTTGCTAACATTAGCTAGCACTGACATCAAAACATCTTCGTTGTCTTGCTGCTGACATTAGCTCAGGCTGCTGTCTAGCTTCTGTGTTACAGAACTTTCTCATACGATACTACAAGAACCTGTCGTTAAGAAACCCGGCGTTTCTATGTGCTGCCTTATTAGTTAAGTCGAACTACGTTGTAGTTGATCCGTCATAGTTAGCTTAACCACTGTTCGCTGCGCTAGCTCCATTCGTTGACATTAGCTGAGCTGACTGTCATTTGTGCTAGCTACCTAGCGTTAGTTGACATTTGCTCACTAACTGCGTAACCAGAGGGGTTTCCATTTACCTGGACCAACTGGAAATGTTGTCATAACAGAGCTCTGAAATTCGCAGTTTGTGCTTTCTGTGTATCCAAGTCTACACCATAACAGCCTCCATGATCGCAATGTCAAAGCTTGTATATTGCAGCTTGCTGGGCTAACGGGAAATGGGATCCGAACATTGACGCCCCCTACTGTTTGGTACAGTAACTGTTGATGCTGCGTTCAGGTGCTCCTGGTGAGCTCAGTTAGAGGCGCTTTCTGTCAAGAAGAAAATGGTGTGAGTCACAAAGTAGCCTACACAGCTAGACTTCAATCTGATTTTAGAAGACGGAATCTAGCGTAAAACAAAGCCTAAATAGGGGGAAATGTTTAAGGTATGCTTTTGTATTGCAGACACATTGTGAGTTGCATGATGTAATTTGGATAAATGAAGACCTAGGGTTAGCTCCAGAACTTGGATTTGCTTTATAGTCTTTAGTGATCAGAATCGCTTTTAATCCAATCTCCTACTTTTTCCTTTTGTCTTCTTTTCATGAGAAGGTTTAAGAGAATGTCTGTGTTTGTGCCATCAGTTAGTCCATATATATAACTTCACATGGTAGCCTAGGGCCTATACATTTCCAGTAAATTCTGTAAATGCAGATAATTGTAGCAATACTAGGAAAGTCAAAAGGCTAAAACATCAGAAATAGAGACCCATAAAATGAGACTTCAGCTTGGTGTTTATTATACAAGCATTAAAATATATGCCCATCCAAGTATTTTGGTTACTCGGTTTAAACTCTGAGAAAATAGTCTTATTTTAGGACCCTTTTGTGTATGAACACAAGAACTTTGAAAATGAACAATAAACTCTACCTATAATTAATGACTAGCACCCTTTACTACTTGAGCTACAGCCACCCACATATACAGTACCTTTTATACTGCTCCTACTGTACCCTGATTAATTGATGAAAGGTTTTGAAAAGACAAGAGGATACAGTGAACATTCATGGTAGCTTGCATTTGAACCAGCATTAAGACATTTGGGTTAAAATTCTTGATGCTTAAATTCTACATAAAAATATTTAATTCAGAAAAGACTGACAAATTAAATAACGTTTGTCTAAATCACTACTCATGGTTGACAGTTGAAGGTGCTTTCTTCGGCCTGTAGGGGGCAGCCTTGACACAATAAAGTTGCCTGTTCTGCCACTCAGTAATCTATTAAACAATCTGTGTACACTATGTCAGAAAGTTTGTCTATATGATCTGTGTACAAAATTTGAACTAATTATAAACTACACATACCAAGAAACAGCCTTTCAAAGTAGGATTAAAACAGGCTACCAATAAAATGCTCCAATATACTTCCAGCAATACCATAATCTCTACTCTATGACACTGTGGTAACACAGTACTATAGTCATGCTGTCCCTGTTAATCTACATTTTATCTTAATAATTGACATTTATTCAAAAGCTCAAATCAATTATGCATCATGGATTTGTCCAAGATCTACCAGCTCTCTTGGCAAAACTAAGACAACTCTCCCTAGAGATACACACAGTTGTGGATAACACATGATGTGATGATGAATCCCACTCTGGCTGGATAGAAGAGAAGGAAAGGAATAAAAACCTTTGTGTGGTGTACCATCCCAACACATCATCATCACACATTGTATTCAAAAGTTTATTCATACTATTTACCAGAGGAAACATAATTTGATGATGAGCCGAAATGCTGCGTTTCCCAGGCTTTGGAAGAAATTATAGAGGCAAACACTAAACAAAGTTTTTCATAGAAACTGCTGGTGTTATGAATATTATTTTTTTAGATGAAAGTTGAATCTTTAAGGTATAGCTGTATAGCTGATATGATTCAAAATGGTGCTTGCATTTCCAAACAACTGGGGAACTTGTAAAACGTTTTAAAGATAATGTTCTGAATTCTCTAAAACTAACAGAATAAAACCAAAAGTCACTCTGAAAAAGCTACATATTCTACATATTAATATTCTATTCCCATATTGCAACTCTAACATTTTTTTCATTAGACCCTTTCCGTATGAAATGCAGGCTGAGTAGTACTTCTGCTGACCCATAAACTAATTATAAAAACAATAATTAGTGTAAAGAACATTATGAAATGACTTTATTGCAAGCGCATATTAAATTTCAATAGTGTTCAACAACAGTAAAACAGTACATTTGCTCTCAGAGGATTGCAGTAAAGGCCTGCAAGGATCCTTTCAACAGGGGGCAACAAAACCTGGCTTAAAAAAGGTAACAGTCATAAAATGTAAACAGCATGTCTGTAAATACAGTATGCAATTAATTTTCATACTTACATAATTTTTAATCAATAAATATGAATAATGGATATGTAGTATGTCCAGAGACCAATATAAGACTAATCTCAGTTTAACACATCTGTAGCATATGTAGTATCTCTGTAGTTTTGTGGTTTGTGGTTATGGTCCGTTTGTGAGTTTTTCAAAACAATCTTTACAGTCCTTTTACTGCATGTTAATATTCTCTTATTGCAGTCTAGTGTGCACACATATGTATCTAATGGTTTCAAGCATATGCTGAAAGAGACGTTAGTTATATATAAGTCATGAGTATCAAAAATGTATATCAGATGTTCTGTATGTTAGTAGGATTTGAAAATACGGCTGATTTGGACATGATGTCCACATATGGTGCAAAGCATTTCTCACATAAAATATCTAATATTCCCAGCATGCACTGCTTTGTAGCTGGAAAACAGATCTAAGAAATGTCTTTATTTTAAGATTGTATCTTTAAACTGAAGCATAATACACTGAGTACAAGTACAAGCCAGATGAGACAATAGAAATGGAAAAAATAGTCCTCTGTGTTTCAGATTGTAGCAGTTAACTAATAGCCATATTGTTGTAGCTGACTCCTAAGTGTCTATGGCTTCCACGTGATTGAGTCCTCACTAGGCCAAACCGCATATCTCTCCTGGATGAAGTCCACAGAGGGGAGAGGCATGGATACGAATTACAGATGGAAGGCAGCATTCTTCTCACCATCACCCCTCCATGTTTGGTAAGGTGCATTTGGAATTCAGTGCTATGATTGGTAGCCGTATGCTAATGCATCTAAAGGGATGAAGGAGAAAACGGATTAAGGCATTCACATTTACAGATTTAAAATTTTTGCCAAACGTCAGTGTTACATTATGAATTTTCTTATAATGATGAACATTACCCTCAGATAACAAATGGGATTACTCTGGAGTTATTCCATCAGTCCAACATAAACATGATGGAGTTTAAAGTGTCAGTTCACTCAAACTACAGAAACATTTTGTATTGGTGGTAATTTGAAATGTAGACAGGTTTTATTTGCACAAAAACTGGAAACAGGGTCAAAGTGAACCTGCCTACCAGCACCTACTGTATAAAGCTCACTATTTAAACCATTGTACCTTGTTTGATTGCTCCAAAATTCGAAGTCTAAAACAAACATACAGTATCAGGTTGTACGAGAGCTATGGATTGTACTATTTCTTGATCAGGACCAGTAATTTTCTGGAGTCTGGCATCTACACTAAGAGTGGTAAGAAATATTGGTAATAAAATAATCACATTTTGTTGCTTTATAACATCCAAGTGAAAGATATAGTAGCAACGTGTCATAAAAATAAAAATAAATCAAAAACAGAATCACTGAGTTGGAAAAATGACCCCCCCCCCAAAAAAAAGACTTGTAAACTCAATCAGGTGTAGCTAATCACCTTCTCAATGGTACACAAAGCCCTTTGACTTTCAGCTGTGATCAGCTGTGGTCATTTTGATTAGCTCACCAGGAAAACAGCTTTCCTGGAGCATTTCAGTCCCTGGTAGTGCAACTGAAGCAAACAAATAACTATGGGTGGCAAGGCGCTGTCAAAAGATCTCCAATGGATAAAGTTGTAGACAGGCCCAAGGGGATACAAATATGTTTCAAGGGCTTTATCAATGCACAGTGAAGTATATTATTAAGAAGTGGAAGGTATTTGTTAAAACACAGACCCATCCCTGGATCAGGACTTCGCTCCAAACTGGATGAAAGAGCCAGGAGGGAAGTGGTCAGAGAAGCTTCCAAGAGGCCTACAGCAACTTTGAATCAGTTGCAGGAATTTATGACAAAGAATGGTCATTGTGTGTATGTGATAGCAATCTCACAAATTCTCCACAAATGTGGCTTGTATGGGAGGGTTGAAAAAAAAAAGCCACTCCTCAAGAATGGCCACATGCAGTCACAACTGAACTTTGCCAAAATGTACCTTGGAGGTTCTGAGGCCACATGGATAAAGGTGTTATGGTCAGATGAGAGTAAAATGGAATTATTTGCCCTCAACACCAAACGATATGTCTGGCAGGAATCCAATACAGCTCACCATCCAAATAACATCATTCCTACAGTAAAGCATGGAGATGGTAATATCCTGTTTCTCTGCAGCAGGAACTGGAACACTTGTCAGGATAGAATGAAAAATGGACGGGGCGAAATACCATCAAATTCTTGAGGAAAATCTGCTGCCCTCTGCCAGAAAGTTGTCAATGGAAAGAAGGTTTACCTTCCAACATGACAATGACCCAAAGCACACATCAAAAATGACCACACAGTGGCTGAAGGAGAAAATGAGTGACTTTTTGAACTTGGGAGAGGAATAGGCTAGGTGTTGTTCCTCTCTCCAGTTTTTATGCTAAGCCAGACAAATTTCCTACCTAGTACTGTAAGTGCTAAACTCTTATTCCCAAACTTCCGAACTATTCCTATAAATAAAGACCCAACTAAAGTGATGCTTTAGTGATTTAGTACTGCATTTCCATCACATGAAATGACCACACTCTTGCCAATAATCACCTGAATGAAACTGTGCTGTGCAACACAGTCCCTCCCCTCGTGCTGTCCGGTAAATGGGTGACACACACACCCTAGCTAATGGGGGGAGGTGTGTGAGACGTGTTGATGAAGAGTCTGCTGGCAAATAAAGGGATGAGTGCTGGCCAGGGACAGAGCTTTGCTCTCCCTCCCAAGTGAGCCAGTAACCCCTCAGGCCACCCCCACTGCCCTTCCAGTCAACCTGTACTGAGTCACTACCCACTGTGGTCAGCTGGAGGTCTGCCAGGGCTGGAGTCACTGGAAATGAAGACCACAGAGAACTTAGTCAGGATATATTTCAAAAATAAGAGAACCAAGCGATATGAATGAAGAAGAGTAAAATAGTAGAAGTTAAAGGATAATATAAATGCTTTAATTGAACTCCCACAGTAGAAAATTCTCTAATAAGATTTTAAAATTGCCATTGGAGTAGTCAGACTGGAATGGAACTGCAAGTAAGTGTCTAAAATTTAAGATGCAGAAAGGACTAAGCAGTGCTGGATTAGGATTTGCAGGCACTAAATATGATCCATGATTGCCAGGTTTGACTGCGTTCTTGTCACATTTCTCACCTTCCTGAGTACACACTTTGATGGACATGGCCTTCTCCTTGCCCGAGGCGTGCCGGGCACTTATAGTGACCAAGTAAGTGGTATCTGGTTGGAGGTCTCTGAGGACAGTAGAGTTTTGTGTTCTGCTCACTGTGACAGCATGGAGCTTGCCCCTGGGCAGAGCGGAGTATTCAATGTAGTAACTTGTGACTGTCTCTGGTTGAAGAGGACCCCAGCTCACCCGAACACTGGTTTGTCCAGATTCAGAGACCGTTACCACAGCTGGGCTCAGCACCTCTGGTGTGTGGAGAGACAAAAAAAGAAACACTGAGTTAGTAAGAGGTCATATGACAAAAATGAACTAAGGTCGCAATCCACGATAATTTTCACACTTAACATGCCTGTAGGTTATGATTTGTTTGCTAATTACTACAACAATAAAAATATTTATGTTGATTTAAATTGAGCTTTTCCTCTTTTACTATAATTAGTACTATTATTGGATTTTTGGGGAAACATTCATACCAGTAAAATAAAACATTACCCTATAAAATGTCAAATAATAGTGAAGAATGCCCATAAAAAGTTCCAAGAATCCAAGGTGATATCTTCAAATTCCATGTACAATTAATTATAGCTGATAAAAGCATCAAATTCTAAAACTTGAGAGGCTAGAACTAGTGCATGTTTGCTTTTTGTGCTCTAACCAACCAAATGAAATGATTAAGTAGAATAACTGTAAGTAGCAAATCAAATTAGTACAGTAATGGGTTATGACACAGTGCGTAACTAGGATGCAGCCCAACCTGGCTTTGTTGTGAAAGTGACAGAGAGTGTATTAAATGCTTGCTCGTTGGACTCCGGGGTCAGTGTGGCAGTATAGGTGGTGTCAGGCTTCAGGCCCATTAGCTTGGCACTGCTGGAGTCGGCAGATTGGGTAATTCTCTGGTACCGACTTCCACCGGTGCTCGGACTGGTCCCAGTTCCACCTCCTCCGCCACCTCCTGTCAGAACTGGACCAAAGCGGATTTCATAGTAGCCCGTCAAACCAGACAGAACAGGTCGCCACTGGAGTGTGGCCGAATTAGTGGAGACGTCACGGACGTGGATTCGTTCAGCTCGGATAATCTCTGTTGAAAGCAGGATAAAGAAGAATGACGTTACTGTATGTGCACATGGGTCTGTCAGGGTTAAAGAATAAGTTAGAATTACTGCAAAGACAGAGAGAAAGGATGGTGACAGGAAGGATGACATAAGACAGTGCTAAACGATGTCTTGACTTCAGACAGCCACTCACATAGACAGCCAGACTTGGGTGTCTAAATGCATTCAAATCCCTTGTAATAAGACAACTTGCAATAGCCAAGCCAGTTAGGCCCTGCAACAAAATAACAAATGCCACAGAGGCATTTATATCTGATCCTTAGTCATTCAGAAAATACTGGTGCATTCTCCTTGCTGTACACAAGTCTTATTTATACTACCGGTATCCATCATATCTTACAGGTATGCAGTAAGAACTGTGCAAGTGCTCCTTATAAGTGTTATGCACTTA